ACATTGCTATAAAAATATCGAGATTAAAAATTCGTCTTTTGATGTGTGTATATATGCGAAGGAGATTGCTGTAAAATATTCTTTCCTTCCTACTCTTACAACTATTAACGTTCACTTCTGTCTTACGCATCCACAAAGTATGTGCGTCAATTATATTACGTGTAGTTAACTATATTACTCTCTATCAAGTTATTAGATTGTGTCACAGAATCAGGTGCAAAGCAAAGTGAAAAGAAATGACCTCGAGTCAACGGTAATTGTCGCCATTGATTTCCACAAAGTCCATTCACTTGTTAAGATTTACCGTTCGATAACTGGATAAAACATGGCATTGCAGTTTTGCATTTGCACTGCGATTATTGCAGTTATTGCATTTGGAATGAAGTACTGTCTATTTGAACGCAGAAAATATCAATATAATATTATTACGCATGTATACAGGATATTCCAGAACAACTCCCGAAACTCTCATGGAAGCATAGTATGGATTAAGGTTAACATAAAAGTCCTATGTCGTTTTGCGATATTCGCAATAATTATCAAGATATTAATTAAAGAAGATTTGTGAATAATCAGATATGATACGTGAGTTATAGTAGCAACATCTTTCATTGTGTATTTGTACAAAAAGTTAAAAAAGTTGTAAAAGTTTCTACAAAAACTGAACAAACAGGTTCTCTACTTTTTTTTTAATAACTATGTTAACTTTTTAATTAGTCACTACTCAACCATGGTTATACCATATGCTATGTGCATGCTGAGTTTCAAGAAAAATAGTATATCACAATTAGGTAGTGTTACTTGTAAGTTATTAGGAAAATAGTACAGAACTTTTTTGTTCAGTTTGAGCTAAGCACACGAGGACAGACGTTGACACTACAGCTTATCTATCATATCTCGCGTGATCATTCACAAATTTGTTTTAATTATTATATCTTGATAATATTTCTCAATAATTATTGCGAATATCACAAAACGGTATAGGATTTTTATGTTTACCTCAATCCGTCTCCACGAGAGTTTCGGAGATTGTTCTAGGACACACTGTATATAAAGTATAATGTATTACAATAAAAATAATATTAATATTAATATCGAGTATAGTAAATTTCCTCTTAGAAAAAGATCGAAAGAGACAAGTAATTTTTGATATAGATTATGAAAAAGCCTTATTAATTGATTTTCTCTTAATATAATGAAGTTATATAATGAAGTTTAAAATACAATATAATAAAGTTTCTTTCGCTCCGTTGAACATAATATTTTATTTTTATACTGGATAGAGTACGAATGATACATATATCACATACAATATCATCTGACATTAATTTAATTCTGATTATTAATGCACTGGTTATTCTGAAATTTGTTATAGATATGCGCTGGTTTCGCGGCCACACCGAGGCACCGAGACTTTTACGCCTGAGTCCTCTTCGAGCCGACGAAGATGTTAACGAAACATCCTATCATTTTCGTACAACGTCTCGATGCAGAGGTAAGAATTATCTATAAAAACCGAAAGAACAATGCGTTCTTGTACGAAGAATATACGAAGAGAATGTTATAGTTTTTTCTATTTATAAATTCTTTTATTATGTTTCTAGTAGTCCAGTAATAGACTGTCAATAAAATCTATCTTGCTAAGAAACATTTTAAATTTTGTTAAAAACATAGCTTCTTCTTATATATTTATGGCCTGGAATTTTTATTCTTTAAATATAAATATAAAGATATCCGGAAATATAACAAATTTCCTAATAGCATACGAGTATTTTAGTTTTTAAAAGATAAATAGCATATATATATATGAAATTAAAGGATAATAAATTACTGCAGAATCTTATTTTATTCCTCGATTACAAAATTCCATGCTAATTTGAAATATAAAATTATCTCCGTATAAAATATACTGTGTTACTTTCTCAACATTACTCGTGACGTACAATATTAAATGACTATTTCTTCATTTTTCAATTCGATAAATAATCGAAAAATTATACATTAAATCTTCACCACATTTGATTTACCTGAAGATGCGATCGTTTGCTTCTCTTTTTTTATTTTACCAGAAAATTTGAGGAGAAATTATTCGAGTGAATTTCCCTCGAATTTATATTTCGATTTATTAAAATTCGTTCTGCCATGCACATATAGCTTCAATACTTGAATAATTATAAATAAATGAAACATCAGTCAAGGAAAATATAAGAATTGAAATCTCGCAGAAACGAGACGTCTTCTGAGCGTTACGTGCACGTATCGCATATCGCTATATCATGTGCCTGGCGTACGTGGCAGAATTCGAATCAGAATTCTGTTCTGAATGCGAGAATTACGACTCAACGTGCTGTCAAGCACGAGCGCCGAGTGACTTGCTAAAAAGAGAAAGAATAGAAACAAATTGACACCGTCGGCGTATGCGAATGCGCGTTAATGTAAAGGATCATTGTTAAGAAGGCGATTCGTGGCTTACAAGTATGAAAGTACGCTGGAAGACGATAATGTAATTGACAGTAACAGCGACTGCAACAGGAATAACACGACAAATCAGCTTGCTAATTATAGTAACTGCTAATCGAGACAGTAGCCAAGAAACGAGTTTGTGGATCCTTTTCTCTTTAGCATCAAAATCTCAAAGACGATATACGAAGAGTATTAACGTGACAATAACAGAACTAAATACGTTTTAGTTAAAGGAAAGAATCTCTGATTCTTCAGGCTTCTTCCTACGTTCTCACTGCTGCCATTTTATTTAATAATATCAGAAGCAAGAAAGCAGATGCTCAAAACTCTTACGGAATACGTCGAAATAAAAGAATATCCATAAAATAACACTTGTGATCAATGGAGCACATTTGTAAAATATTCCGAAAGTTTTTCTTTTATTCTAGTAGATAACTAAACAATAGATAATCAAAATTAACATAACAAAAGCATAACAAGAGGCATAGGAAAAGGAAAGTTATATACATATCATGTTAATTTTACGTTATTGAGTTAGAGTAAAATGCAAAGTTTTCGCAACATATTTTATAAATATGCTCTATTAATCACAAATGTTACTTTATGGATATTTTATTTCAACGTATTTTGTAAGAATTTTGAGCTGCGTTTTTTGCTTTTAACAACTTAATCAAAAGTTCTAAGGCGAGGAACCAGAAGCCTTAAGAGAATCGAACTTAGTTCTTAATTTCTGATTTCCGAGAATTTCTGTTTTATAAGAATCATAAGTTTCCTCAGAAACCAGAAATAGAAGTTTTAAGAACTGGATTTGATTTATAATAATTGAAAATTTTATTTCCTTTAATCAGAACGCGTTTTCTCATGTCATTTTTATGTTAATTTAACCATATTTTTCATGTCATTTTTATGTTAATTTAACCATATTTGTTCTCCGTTAAGATCTATTAATAATAATATAGTAACATAAAGTGTAGTTATTTCTCTCTCTCTCTCTCTCTCTCTCTCACTCATTTATCTTATTTATCTCTCTTATTTATCTAACATATTTAAGATATGTTAGTTTTCGATTAGATAATCTACATTAAAATCTTGAACTTTTAACACGTTTAAGAAAGCTGGGTGTAGGCCAGACTTAATTATTCTTAACGAATCTTTATCTACATGATTATTTCATCTAACCGCACATTTGTGACGGTAGAAATCCACGTTGTATATTAGTCAACTCACTTCTACGTAGTTCTACGAACTACTGTATGTACATAAGATAACGTACCACGCAGTTTTAAAGTCAGACGTAGTTTAAAGAACGAGATAGGACGCTATGCAAAGTAAGCATCCGATCTATTTTTACGGTAACTAGTTAAACACTTTGTACAAGAAAGCAAACGTGAAATTTATTTGTCACTTGCTTTACACTTTATAGTTCCGTACTTTGGAGAAAAAGAAACTAATATTTATTTCTTCAATTTTCTGTTTTGGAAATCAATGATCCGGAAAAATTCCACTATATATATTCAATTATATATATTTGTATTTATCTCTATTATTTAAAAAATTTTTTTCTGAAACTTCTGTTTTCTATACACACAGGAAAATACATACTGTATTCAAGTAAATGTTACTTGTTTGTAATATTTCATAGGTTTATATATCCAAAAAACTTTGTATATCACATAAATTCATCATAAATTCAACATCAACTTTATTCAAAATATGTTCTGAATTTTAATAAATCTCACATTTCAATCAAAAATATTAAATTAAAACAAAGTTTCAGTTTGCTTATTACTTAGAGTCTAAACTTTTTTGATAAAATTTTGTAATATTTTTTATAAATCTTATAAAGAGAATAAATTATTTTTTCGAGTACATGATATTGAGTCTTTCTAAAATTTGCAATGAATATACTTTAAGATTATTGTGAAGAAAATATATTAAAGATCGTTACTTAAAAGAAAGAAAATAAACTGAGAAAGTTGCTTTTCTTAGCAATAGAATAATATTTTCCCGTGTGTAAGAATATATTTGGAATTGGTTTTATCGTGTATGCAAATTCGCACACGTAACTGTGTTTAGACTCTAACTGACTCTTCTTCCTTTATTGTAATTTCATGTCATAGAACCACTTCGCGTTTTCTTTAATGTTACTTACAATAGCCAAGTGAATGATTGGACAAATCGCATTGCGTGATGACGAACTAATTTAAAACGAGTAAATCTCGCATACTCACGTTACAAATTGAAAATGGTACTGCTGGTTGCAACAGATGGTGATTGTTATTACTGCTTACATTATGTCGATTGCTGTCAAAGCTTTGTTCAATTTAAGTTACAGTTTGCAATATCGGAGGATAGATCAGTATCTGTAGAACTTCCGATATACTTCTTTATACACTTTATTACAATAAAGTCATGCGTTTTTATATTTCTCATCCAACAATTACAAGTCTCATGTTCTTTTCTTCTTCTTTTCTTGTCAGACAAAGTTCATGTTAATTAATTGATATTTCTTTGAAAAATTCCATAATTCCATTTTCAATTTTTATTCAAAAACCATCATGAGAATTTTTTCAACTCTCCTCAATTTAATACGCAAAAATTTTATCACTTACTTCACTTCTCACTTGGAAGGTGTTATGTCACTATGTAGCGTTCTCGTTATCTAAAGAGCGCGTATGCTACAAGCTATAAATGACACAAATTAGTCATAAGGACATCCTGCTTTACACACGTCTTGCGTAAAACGCCAAGTATAACCTCATCCTTTGCGTAATTGCCAATTCGACGAAATATTGCCGAATTACTAAGCGACACATTCGTCAGTTTTGTGGGGACAGTTATGAGCGGCATTGAAAGGCACCAGATCACTTTCGATTTAAGAGTTGTAGAGTTCGGGTCTAACTGGTGTGTTTCACAGTTGTAGAGAAAGTAAACAGGAATGAAATTATTTGATTTAATTTATGCCACTCTCCGTTTGAAATACTGTGAGTACTTTCAAAATGTATTATTTCTTATAAATAGCAAAGTTTTCTTTTTTTTATCAGGACTTTTATATATACTACCAAAAGTAAAACACCAACATAATGAGTATCATCGCAGGATATTCGTTACAAGATTTATATTAATTAAATATAGAAGTATAAAACTTGACCCTCTTTAGTGATCGAAAAACGAAGAATATACAAGAAATTTTTTGTCATAAACTATATAGATAGGAGTGCAGCAGTGATAATGTATGTAAAAAGGAGAAATCAGTCAAACAAGATACTTTTAGCATTGTTATAGTTGAATTCGGCTGGAAATCTACGTTAAGTCTAAAAAATATTTTCTGTAATGTATTGTTCGTTCTCCAGTCACTGAAAAAGGCCAAAAACTATGACCGAAACGTTTGATTGTAACGTTTCGTTTTATACTTATATAAGGTATCCAACAATTTGTCATACAGCTATGGTATATAGATAGAAATCATCAAACTCAATACAAATTCCTCTACTATTTAGCAAAAAACCACATAAGATTAGAACTTATTAATCAAAGAAGATTGATGAATAATCAAGCGCGATACGATTAGTGTTTGCCTTAGATGATTTTAAAATTATTTGAATGAAGATAAGATGAAAATCCGTAAATTTATTTTAGATAAGATAAATAATTTTGCCTTTTAATTCATTTAGATGAAAGATGAGATTATTAGTGCAATTTATCTGGGAAATTTTTTAAATAACTTTATTTTTATGAGACTTTATAAAAATTGTTTAAAAACTTACGCAAATTATAAAATATTAAAATAACATTCTCAATTTTCATTTATTTCATGTTTTTATTTATCAAAAATAAAATGTTTTCAAATGTTTTGTCTTATAAGAGATTTTGATAGAGTAAATTTATTTACTGTGCTAAATTAAAAAGGCGCTCTACTAGCATCGACTATAGTATATATTATATTTAAAAAAAATATTTTTAGCATTTGGAAAATTTATAAAAGATTGAAGGTCATCTTTACTTTTAGACATACATAGTTTTTACGAAGTGTAGATGAGCGTACTAGATACTCTCTAACTCTCTTCGTAAATATATAACCAAAATACGCAGCTTCAGATGCTATATTAAAACATTTCTTGTAAATAAAATCGCTTCCATTCTTCTATAACGCAGTATCTGATATCAAATTCATCTACACTTTATTAAAACTCGCTACAGTTAAATGATTTCAATGCATTCAAATATACACACAATTCTAAAACAATATTCTGAATGGTTTTGTTTCGTTTCGAATATACTGAGCTAACATATTCCTATGTATGTGTATGTACATATACAGGGTGTCCCGCCACTACCGCATTATTTCTTAAGAACGATTCCTGAGGTAATTTGAAGAAAAAAATCCTAGTGCAAAAATGTCGAGGCTATAATAATTTTCAAATTATAAACGATTAAAGTTGACCAATTATATTGGCTAAAGTACGCGCGCTCAGGTACGGTACAACACACAATAGGTGTATACACATAAGTGAGAATTTGCATAAGATATGAAATTAGTTGCAAATCTCTGAAAGGAACGTTAAGTGTGTGACAACTTATTGATTCTCATAAATGTATTGTGTGATATTTTATTCATAACATTTTGACGAAATTGTTATTTGCGATATGTTTATTTAAATGATAGAAAAGGTAGATTATTATTACATATGTTGTTGTATGTATGGAACTTCCATATCAATATTTGGAAAAGGGATGACATGTACAGGCCTACTATTGTGTGTTGTACCATTCCTGAGCGCGCGTACTTTAGTCATTACGAGTCATTACTCGTATAATTGGTCAACTTTAATCGTTTATAATTTGAAAAGTTATAGCCTCGCATTAGGATTTTTTTATTCAAATTAGCTCAGAAATCCGCCCTTAAGAGATAATGCGGTAGTGACCGGATATCCTGTATATTTATTAAATCGACCACTTGATACTTAAGTCGGATAAACAGACTTTTACATAACGCATAACGTCATTTTAGATAATTTTAGATAATTTTAGATAAGAGAACACATTATGACTGCGTTCTTTTTAAACGCTTACGTGCGTCGTTCTATCTTTCTTCCGCATGTAATGAGCGATAAATATAAAATGACGCTTACAGCGAGTGAACGTCCAAAGGGTAGCCTTTTTCATCTAAAATAAAGATGAATATGCTTTGTATTGTTTTAATGTAGATAAAGATAAAGATGATTCAATTTTTTCACCTGGGTGGTCATTTAAATAATTTTGTTTAAGCATTTATCAGCAAACATTGAGTAGATGAGCTGTGATAACCGTGATTGACTGTCCACAATAATGTAATCTTCTTTTATTAGTAAGCAAAAGTTTACGTGATAATTTGCAAAATGGCAAAGGACCTTTTTGTTCAGTTTGACGTAATGTACAAGTACACGATGGCAGACGTCGTCATCATAGTTCATTTATCGTATCGCGCATCCTTATTCACTAATCTTCTTTGATGCATAACTCAAAATTTTATGTGATTACTTGCGAAATAATAAAGCAATTCAGTTTGGTGAATTTTACTTGTATATCGCAACTGCATAACGAATTGTTGAATATTCTGTATAGGATAAACTTGAATAAGATGGCCACTTTTTTAAAATGCAAAAAATACATTTCTTATTGTTATTTCTTAATAGCGTTTGCACATTACTTCATTGAAGCGTATAGTAGAAGCGTATAATACATAATACTATCAGAGTTAAAAGGAAAATATTTTATTGAAATTATTTATTGCAAAAATATCGAAAGATGAGTATTGGCCATTTTACTTGAATTTTTCAAATAAGATGGCTATAACATTAAGGAATAAATGGCCCATATATATTTTATGTTTAAGACGTATTTTCTATTACAAAACTTTAATTCTAAATGCAATATTTTAATCAAAACATATTGCATATAAAATTTAATTACTGTAATATTAAAAGTAATTTTTGAAATATAACTTTCGATAGTGAATCATCTTATCCAAAATGTGAGTGAAAGACGGCCATAGTATTTATAAACAAATAGTGAAAACAAAAATAAAAACTGCATTATATTATAATTATAATATAATATGCAGTTTTTATTTTCGTTTTAAATTAATTTACATACCTTCTTTATGTATCTAACGTTGATTGCAATAGCTTAACTGTAATTTATTCGACGTTACTGCAAGTTTTATTGAACATATGAGAAATAGTACAGGTAGTCGAAAATAAATATAGTATAATAATCAAAATCTTATTATTTCGAAAAATGTACACACATACGCTATGATAAATATCGATTATTTTTGTGACTGATTACATGAACACAATGTTTTGCAATTATTAGAGGAATTATAGCCGTCTTTCCCGGTATAGCCATAATACCCGAGTTTATTCTATTCAATTGATATAAATCTTATAACGAATATTCTACGGTGGTTCTCATTGGCTTAATATTTCATTTTTTACAAAATATGAAAAATATTTCATTAATAGAGTAGACTTCATTATAAAATGTTTTGTATATATTTATGAGAATATAAACTTGAAGAAACTACGAAGAGTTTTGTTGTAAAAAAATTAAAAGAAATATGAAGAATCATTTTATCGCCTGGAGATTCATTAATACTTTATTTGACTGATCTTTCAGACACGTCACCGGTGCGATGGGTCCGGAGAAAATCCTCGAGTTCCGAGTCTGAGAGGAATTGTTACAACGTGCAAACCTCCCAAGTGACAACTGAGCGAACAACCAACAAAAAAGACAAAAAAAAGATTCAGGATAAACGGCGGAGAGTGTGCGAGAAGCGAAATCCTTTGCTGGACCGCGTGAAGAGTACCAGATTGAGCTTCTTCAAGGACAGGGATTCTGACGAAGAGGATGACAACGAGCACGAAAACGAGGAAGATGAGAATGACGAGGCGGAGCGTGTTCAATTCCGTTCGATGTGCGAATTGAGGCATCGCGGTCTCATCAGAAATGAGTTACGACAATCCATCTGCGAATCCGACCTCATGCAAGAAGATATCACGGAGGAGAGCAAAAAGAATCACGCGAGGAGGAAACGACGCGCCAAGTCGCAGAGCAGGTTGCCGTACAAAAAGCACCAGGAAGAGCGATTCTCCTTCTTGGGCTTCCGCACCTCGACGCCTCGAAAAACGCGACCTTCTGAGTGGTCGAAGGAGGACTCGGTTCATCAAGAGGACGCGATGCCTTACGACTATCGATGGGAGAGGGGCAGCAAATATTTCCTCCAAGAAAGCCGCAGTCTCGATCATCAAAGAGCCGGCAATCACACAGAGATGACACCTCAAGCCGCTGACACGATCCTAAAGAAGGACGCGCGATTCGACAGTATCACGCCGTCCAGCTGCCTGGCGGCGAAATTCCGTGCGATGCAGGACAGATATTTGAAGAGCTCGACGAGCAGGCTGATCGCCAAGATCTACAGGAAAGACTGCAAGGACCAACGAGAGAGACGAAGACTGCGTAGCTTCTCGTACGGCACATTGCCGGGTCTTGAAGAATTGCGGACAAACCCACTCTATGAGAATCACTTGGATCAGGACGACAATGACTCCGGCATCCTGGACAACGATTCCGCCACCAGCTCGCTTCTCGACGACAGATGCAGCAGCGGCGCTTCCGGGCCGCTCAATGGCAGCGGTAGCCATCACAACGATTCTTACCTAGGCTCACCTCCTCAGCTTCCACCCAGAAGACCTTTCTCCACCGCCGTAGTGGACGTCGACCGAGCCGCGCGACTGTTCTCTAGTTTGGACATGTATCACGACGAGGTGAAAGACCTCGTCACCGAGACGAGTCTCATTGACGAGTACTCGAGCATCTGCCAAGCAGCAAACGGTACATTGATAGATCAACGTCAGGTCTCCGCTCAAGTCTCCGTGGAGAAGGACAAAACGGATCAAATAAGAAAAGGGAGAAACGCGGATGAGAATTCCAGGCGGAAGCGAAGCGGTATCGGCCTGCAGGCAATCAAAAGTAAGACCTGCGTGACGGAAACGATGGTCGTGAAGCTGCTCAAGGAGACGTCCGATCAGTGTCTAGGGATCTTCATAGCGAAAACTGCAGAGTCCAATCCGGGTTACTTGGTGGCTCACGTGGTGCCGAATGGATTGGCCGACAAAGAAGGTACCTTGAGAATCGGGGACGAGATTCTCATCGTCAACGGGAAGAGATTACGCGGTCTGTGCATGGCAGAGGCCAGGAGGATCCTGGGTAATGGTAGTGGGCCCGGTGACGTCGACATCGTCGTCTCCAGATTTTCGGATGTTGATCAACGTGCGAGACGGCTGAAGGAAAGCAGCGTGGATTACGAGAACGTCAGCATGGAGGATGGTCATGGAACTATCGTCGAGACTTCACCCGGCTCGCACTTCAGGAAGCATCAGGCTACAAAGAGTCAGCGCGACAGGAAAGACGAGTCAAACAGATCGAACTCGTCGGAGAAATTCACGACGAGCATTGACTGCGGGTTGACACGCAGCGTCTCTAAGTTCTGCACTCTTCCTAGAAGACCAAGGAACACCGTGTCCACATTCCTCACGGTGGTATTCGAGAAGGGGACCGGAAAAAAGTCCTTGGGATTTACTATTGTTGGCGGAAGGGACAGTCCGAAAGGAAGCATCGGTATTTTCATTATCGAGCGTTACACGCTTCGGTTTCAATCTTGCATATTTTGAATATTTTTCAGTTTGAACATTTTATATCTTCCAATCTGTCACACAGGTATCTTCATCAAGTCGGTACTGCCTGGTGGACAGGCCGCCGAAGATGGCCGTTTGCGCGCAGGGGATGAAATATTGGCTCTGAATGGCCATGTTTGTCACGACTTGACACACCGAGAAGCCGTACAGCTTTTCCGCAACATTAAAAGTGGACCAGTTGCTTTACATCTGTGTAGACGTGTGAAAAATCGTGAAACGCAGTAAGTTCGTTTATTCCATTTAATGCTTAAAACTGCTAGCTACTCTTCAACCATCTCGATTTATAACGTCAGAAGGAAAAAAACACATATTCAAAATTCCTACAAATTCCTAAAAAATAAAAAAAATATATTCATAAACTGACAATCGATCAAGCAGATTAGTAAAATAGTCCAAACACTTTTCTCTTACTTTAAGGATCAACAAATAACTATAAAATTAATGTGACAAAGTCCTGAGAAAAGATAGATTAAAAAGAAAGTTGGTCTGTTTAAAAAATTTGATAGAATTACATAAGAAAAATGTATGTAACTGAATATCGTGTTTTTGGTAAAAATGTATAAAATCGTAATATATAATATATCGTAATGTATAACATATTTAATCATTAAACGTAAATCGCTATATATTATTAAGTGAAAGAAATTAATAACTTTTTTTATGTGAGCTAATATGTGAGAAATAGAAATTTCCGATAAATCTAATAAATTTAAATAGTCATATAATTTGTATCTATTTCTATCAATCCTTATCGGATTTTTCAATCAAGATGCACGTTAATTTTACGGAAATATGTTGATTGATAAAGTAAAAAGAAAGTGTTTGGATTATTTTGCACATCTACTCGGTTGATTGCACAAGTGTCATTTTATAAGCATTTTTTTCCATTTATACATATTTCGCAGAATGTTGAGCATATATTTTCTTATTTCTGACGTCATTAATCAAGAGTTCTACGTTAAGTAGTCAGGAGCATTAATCATGCAGAGTGTCCGATAACTCACCGGGGAGCCGCGGTGTAGAATAGGTCAAGCTAAATAAAAAATTTCTCCACTATTTTGCGAACAAATATGTAAAATTCTTTATTAATCAATAGTTATTAATCAAAGAAGATTGGTGAATGATTACGCGCCATACAGTAGATGAGCTGTGATGGCGACATCTGCTACTGTATGCTTATATATTAGATCAAACAAGTCTATATAATGTATATTAGAACAAAAAAGTCTTTTTGTCATTTTTTAAATGACCACGTACATATTTAGTTAATAATTAAAGAAGTTTGGTGTACCGTTATGTATAATAATACACCAATCTTGTTTAATTAATAACTAAACATGTACGTGATCATTTGGGCAATAGTAAAGGACATTTTTGTTCATTTAATTTAATATACAAGTATATAGAGACAAACGTCTCTCCATCACAACTCATCTACTGTATGACGCGTGATCATTCATGAATCTTCTTGGATTAATAAATTTTACGTGGTTGTTTGCAAAAAATGGTAGAGGAATTTTTGTTTAATTTTTGATTTATCTTTTAGTTAGATCTAATCTACCTTATACTACGGCTCCTCCGTGAGTTACTGGATACCTTATATATACATATAAATATTTCTTATAGTCATTAATTTAAACAAAAAATGTCGGTTAAATGTTTATTTATAAGCAGTTTTTAATTTAAATAATAAACATTAATTTGATTTCTAAAAGAAAAAAAGATTAGCAACCATATTTATAGAGAGAAGAGAAAACGTTATTTATTCGCATATTATTTATTTGATTTTGCTTATATGTTTCTTCTAAAACTGTTTTGTTTTCTGCTTCTTTTGTTTTAGGGTACCGAAAGCCAAGTCGTGTGCAGATCTTTTGCTCATAGACACGTGAAAATATCGTTCGTTGAAGGCAAATTGAATGCGTTACAACAAAACATGTATAAATATGAATCATGTATATAGTGTACATTATCAAAACTCGCTGGAAATAAAACAATTATTTAATAACAATTATAATTAGTAATAATGTGAAATATACGGTAACCGCGAAGTATAATACATCCTCATTATCGGTTACAATTAAGAAAATGCATACAATGGATTCCACTCTGTCTCGTAACGTTATTCGTATGAAGTCTTAATTTAAAGATACATGATAATGTAATATAGTGGGAGTTACAGTACCAATTATAAATACTGCAGAGTGGCACGCGAGAAAATAGCCCGGATGATAAAGTTTTTAGTAACAAAAGAGTAACAAAATAATGCTACACCCACATACGCAGGGTAATAACGGGCGAGACCATTTTTTCGCACGCCACTCTGCATTACAATAAAAATAAACTTAATTAATTAGGCAGTTGCACAGTACCGCGCGAAATAAGTTACGAGAAAGAAGGAGGAAAAAAAAGAATCGTCGAAAGTCATTGATTTCTTCTGATAGACTAGAATCCTAAAGCGCCGTTTGCCGTGAACAATAATAGATTCGATCTACATCTAAGGAGCACTTCCGGTGGGTAGTTTCCTCCTGGTTAATACTCTCTAATACGGCGCACTTTTTAAGGTGCTTCTAGGATATCTAAAAAATAAATTTCTCGTTAAATCCAGCCTTACTTATATTCAGAGTTGCAAGTAATTAATTGCTTTTTTAATTAATTGATGATTAATTTGAACCAAATTTAATCGAAAACCGTTTAATTGACAATCTAATCGAAAATCATTTGACTATTGAAGGTAGGAAATTTTATTAAAGGTCGTTTAATTGACGATTAATATGAGCAAATTTAATCAATTCCATCGAAAATTATTTGGTCATGATTAATATGATCAATGTCCCCCTCAATGTGGGCTTTACTTAATATTTTTCAATCATCGGTATCTTCTACAATATCATGATGTTTCGGGTACGAATATTATTCACAAAATCAATTGTAACTTTACTTATAGTAAAATAAGTTCTCTATCATCTCTATTGTGAGTCCATTGTGATGTCATTATGACTTGTTTTGCTGTAAAAATAAATAATCGAACACTCCTCAATTGAATCGATTAAATTTGCTAATATCAATTGTTAATAATTGTTAATTTGCTAGTATCTATTAAATATACTTTTAATTAAAAATTTGGTCGTCAATTCACAACACTATTTAATTAAATTTGCTAAGTCCAATTATTCACTAAACGATTTTTTATTTCTTTTATTCATATCAATTGTTAATTAAACAGTCTTTAATTGAATTTATTAAAATCGTCAATTAAAAATTCTTCGATTAATTTTGCTCAAATCAATAGTTAATTGAACAATCTTTAATTGAATCCGTTGAAATTAATCGTTAATTAATCGTTAAACTTTTCTCAATTGATTTTGCTCGAATTAATTATCAATTAGTTGAATTAAAACATATCTCTGTTCAAATTATTTATTAAATTCTAAAAAACTTAATTAATATTTTTCTCTGCGTATATTCTATAAATGAGCGTTTATAAATTATTAATTATATACCTGTGTCTCCTCGTAATTTCCAATTCGACAATACCTTCTCTCACCGTCTTAAATAACTCAATGACTTCCTGATGCGTACGACCCTTCAGGACTTTTCCGTTTAAACTCAAAATTTCATCACCTGAAAGCCAAGAAACGCATTACATTAAATACAGAATATATTAGAAAAATATAGATGAATCGAGGGACATGAATATCATTTAAAATGTTTATCAACTTAACTTTATTGTACATTGAACAAGAGAAATCAGGAATTGTAGTGAAAAACAGATGTGCTTTTTTTTCTAATTTCTCTCTGTTTTTAATGAGATAATATTACACAAAAGAAAACAAAATAGGATAATAAAGTGTTCTGTTGGAAAAGGTTTTTTTCATTTGCGTTGTATCGGCTAAATAAATACTCCATGTATGCATAGCAATATTTCTCTTCTCAATGCATAATTATTCAATTAAGAAGATATAATTAATGAAGCGTCTCATAAATATTTTTTCTGTTCATTATATTATTTCGCAATATGAAATTTTATCAAAATCTCGCCTTCACGTTGCAATCAAGTTTTACACAAGCATAAGTTTGAATTGCCGAGTTTGATAACAAGTGTAAATGAGAAATAAATCATTCAGGAGAAGGTCAACGATTTTGCACCGAGGATATTCTGCGAAGAGCACGCCGCCGGTGCTTTTGCGCTTACACAAAATCAAGTAACTACCAGACCGTTACTCAAGTATGCGGTAAGGGAGCGAACCGTCAACGAGGAAACCGCGTGATACTGGCATTTCGTAAAAACTGACGTGTTTGGTTGAAATTCGAGACGTGAGAGCGCGAAACATGCATCCAAGAGACTAACCGATACATCGGCAGATTGATTTTCCGCAGATAGTAAGTGTACTTGGTTACTCAGCGAATTCTAATGTTTGCCATGATAATAACGCGCTACATAAATTTCTAATATTTTTAATAAATAATCAAATGTTTTTAATAAAAGAAGGTTTCATAAATAAAACGGAAAAAATTTCTACGTTACAGATTGCAGTTTCTTTTTATATCCCACAACTCAAAATATTTTCATAACAAATTCTAACGAATCTATTTATTATATAAGAGGAAAATAGTTGATTAATGTACGTGTGTGTGTGACTTATATATCTATATAATGTAACCAAGCGAAAGAACAGCAATGATAAACACATAAGTAAATTTTATATCATAATTATCAGTTGTTTAAGAAAGAAGGGAGGGAAATAGGCAAATAAAAATTATATGTTATACATTAATATTTAGGGTGTATGTATATAACTAAAATAATAATTTGAAGTTGAAAAGAAAATTTAATTCTTAATATAAACCGATTCTGATAAATAATAGTTTTCAAAATTATCACGAGGAAATTCTTTTTTCGCGTATTAAATTTCGTTGAAGTGATATTTAATTTATGTGATTTTTTTTTAATATGATATCATTTTATATGAATTTCTTTCTCTATCTTTTATTAAGAAATAATTTCTTATTAAGAAATAAAATTTCATATCCCATCATAGTACTCAGAAAACATTCGATTACATCCTATGCGAATCTGCGAAAGAGTTGAACATCTAAATTCTTCAGACGTTACGATAAAGACTCGAGGAAACAGCTCATTTATGCGAATACCGTTGTCACCGATGACGACACGATACATCATCGCCTTCCGATGAAAAGAAGGGGGCACGGCGAAGGGAAGAAAAGAAGAGAAACACAGAAGAAAAATGGTAGGACGCGCCGCGATTGTTTAGATATGCAAGCAGCGTTAGCTGTCGGATTAAAGATTCGACAGCTGTCTGGCGGGACCCTCGCCTTGTCGTTGTGAATACGCGAAGATTGACGGAGGCCTGGCGAGGCCGTCCATTGAACGTGTGTTCGACGCATCGTCTTGTGCATTTCCTTATCCCACGATTGATTTGTTTTCAAGCGGAAAATAACTCGTTGAGTGCTATTACGCATCGACTCCAGTAATAGCACCCAGCGATGAACGTTCATATCTCTGTCTCGAAATCAATCAGTGCAATCCTGCAAAAATTCGAACTGCTTCGGATATCATGCAAAAATTTGATTCTTAAGAATTTCGCAAGATTATCATTATAATGCATTATTGTGATGATGTTAATTTCTAAGATTTTCGAAACATTTAAGAATCTTTGAAAACTCTCGATTTATTCAAGACTTACAGAATACTCGAAACCTTCGAAATTTTTAGGAATCTTTCTGATATTGAATAAATATTCGAAATGGTTTGAAATCTTCCTCATATATTCTAATCATATCATATATTCGATATATCTTAGACTTATCATTAGATCATAGTATACAGCATTCTTTTAATTGTAAATTAAAATTCAATTCGAAATCAATCTAAGGCTGTTAAAATGATCGAAATGACGGAATTACCTTGAAAAATGTTTAAACTAATAGGCATAAATTAAGTTAATATTCCTTTTATACCTTTATTCAAATTAGACAGTGCACACACACACACACATACACACACACACACACACACACACACACACACACACACACACACACACACACACACACACACACACACACACACATATTTACACACACACACCGCGCGCAACCAATATAAATACAAATAAATAAATTTAATGCATCAATCCAAAAGTTTTCTGTAATTTGTATACTTGAAATCCTCTGAATCTTAAAAAATTTTATATTTATATATATGACTTAAAGAGTATTCTTCTAAAACTAAATAAAAAATATCCTAAAACAATATTCTTAAAGTTAGAGGAATTTCATCTTTTATGTACAAGTCTTGCTTGTCTTGCTTGCGTTACTTGTATCGCGCATAAGAAGATATTTTGTTTTAAGTAAATGCATTTCACTTGATTCAAAAAAGACAAAAGTTAAATATAATATAAATAATATCTAGTGGATTTGTAGTCTACTTAATAGTCTACTTAATTTAATAATACCATTTATTAGAAAAGATATACTCTTTTGATAAGAGTTTTCTCTTAAAATATCGGATTACAGGAAATAGAGAGCATCTTGCAACAAGAATCCTTTTTTTATGTATATCTTTGCTAAGAAATATCTTTGCTTTTAAAATGAAGTTTACCTTGAAACAATGACCTAGAAATGTCAGCTTGGCCACCAGGAAAAATTCTTCTAACAAAGATCCCCATGTCACCTCTCGGACTATCTCGGCCACCGACGACACTGAAACCCAGACTGGGCTTGCCGTAGCCCTTTTCGAACCTAGCCACGTGTTTCGTCAGATAATGTTGTGATTCAGTCGTGGGCTCCCCGGAATTGCTGTTGGTGTCTTTTTGATTTTTGGATAAACGCGAGAGCGGCAGGAAATCAGGCCTTTTTCTTAGCTGAACAGGTTCGACTTGCTCGCAACTGTCGGCCGCTTTCCTTTCGACGGACGAAGTGTGATTCGTTTCGGCGTCAATCAGCGACATATTTGAGAGATTTTTCGCATTTTCCATATATTCGTACTCGCTGGATAAGGTGGACGGCGGATTGTTGTCGTACATTTGCGGCACTATCTCTTCGTAAGCCGTGGTCAAACGTATGATATTACCAGTGAAGGATCTCAGGAACTCTTGAACCTCCTCGAGATTTTCGAGCGTCTTCAACTCTTTGCCTTCGACCTCGACGATTTCGTCTCCCAACCTCAGTCTGCCGTCCCTGTAATGGAAACGGTTCTTTTTTTTCTAAAAAAAATCGCTTTCTAAAAGTTAATTTCTAGAAAGTAACATAAGACAAAATTGCGACTAAAATGAAATAGTAAAAGCCAGATAAATAGAGAAGCGATGAAGAAGAAAAGGAGAACGGAATCGACCTCATTTCCGATTAAACGTCTCACCTATGAGCGATGCCGTCACTTTCCAATTGCACGATGATGTACCGCGGGTCTCCTAGTCTCTGCTGCGCCAGTCGAATCCCCAGACTCTCCTTGGGATCTCTCTTGTGTAACTGTATCACGCAACACCGGCGCACCCTCGTAAACGGCTGAATAATGTCGCTTAGGAACCTCGTCTTATCCTGTTGCAGCCTCATGCGATGAGGCGACACATCCAATATCTTGGACACACCTGATAGAAAGCTCAATTTATCGTCGCAGCTGGAGAGTCCAGGATTATCTAACCTGGCAATGGTCAGGTCCTCGTCAAAGGACGTTCCGTGAATGCTGGGCAACATCCTGCCGGAGCCGCTGCGGTGCCACCTGAGGCCGTCGATCCCTTCGATATTCATCAAGGATACCGCATCCGATCGATTCTCGTCAATCGTGTCGGAATTCCTTCTGATTATCTTGCTAGAATCCCGAATGTCTCGAGCGTCCTGACACTCGCTGGGTGTGGAGCTCCTTATGGGCTTCTCCGCTTCCGAGTCAATAACACTGCTGGTGTCGGAACTACACTTCAGACTGGAGCCCTCGTTCTCCGAGACGGCTACGAATTCACCACGAGGCCCATCGCTATCATAGCCGGACTCGTTCGAGCTCACGTAATGCGAAGACAGCCGCTGCTCGCAGCTGGACGATGCGGAATTCCGTCGATTGTTCCTGATTGTGGTGATCACATCGAGGTCCGTTGCACTGCAATTGTCCGATATCCCGGGCTCGACCCTTGAGGCAGCAAAGTTTAATTTTTCCTGAACGGACTCATTGGTCTGCTGAAACTCGATGTTCTCTCGGAGCGAGAGCAGGCTGTTGTCGAACAGACTGTAGCAGCCTGCCGCAATGTTCTTGTGTTGGAAGTTGCTTGACTCGATTCGTTCGAGGCGATTGGCATACCTGTCGGTCTCGTATCCGCTGGAATTACGCCGGAATTCCATGTAGGAAGCGCGACTCAATCCCGAGGCGGTCTCCTGATCCCTCGCGGGATTACCATGGCCGATTCCGTTTCCGATTCTCGATCTTCTGCGGCCAAGAGTGGTAGTGCCATTGTAGGAGTCCTCAATCTTCAATGTCGGGAAATGCTCCTCCGAGGCCGTCTTGAACAGCCTCTCGTCTTTGGACACTAATGATCCGTGACGCTCCTCGGGCAACACGGAAAGCTTCGATCGCAGAAAAGCGTAAGGGAAACTAGACTTTCTCGCCTCTTTCAGATCGCAGCTACTACTTTTCCTCATGCACGACGACGGCTCGTCGTCCTCTGATCGTCCGAGATCGTAAGTGCTGAAACTCACCGAAGAACTTCCAAGGGAATTGGAGACACAAGAGTCACGTCTTGTGCAAGACTCGAAAATACCTTGCTCGTTGCCTCGATGTCCTGATGCCAGGTTGTCGCAAGACACTGTTTTGTCTTTTCGCGCTGATATCTGCAGGTCTATTCCTTCAGAGGGGTCGTCGCCCTTCACGTAAGTCGGACTGTTGTTCAACTGGCTGGTACTGCAGCTTCTGAATAAACTCTCCTTATCCAATATCTTCAGTCTATCTTCGATATTTTGTGATCTTTTATTGGTTCTAGTCGAATTAAGCATTCCGGTAGAACCCATTCGGATGAAGAATGATTTGAAAGGTGACGGAGATCGCTGGCAACCACTCGGTAATTTTTTATTAAATTTCTCGTCCAGATGCAGCTTGCTTGACTGTTGGACGTTGATGTCGTTGTTATTATTATTAGTACTGGTATCGTTGTTATTGATATTATTGTTATTGTTTTTATTGGCGGCGCTATGATCCACTTTGTCGGGTTTTTCCGTGACAAAGCAAACAGCTTCACGAGATTTGCCCTGCCGAAACGAATCAATCTTCTTGCTCATCCGACGACCCCAAATCCCGAGACCTGATGCTGCAGAAAAAAAATGGTAAAAGAAATTATATATTATTCATATATATGGGATTACCTAACATAGATGTTATAAGAAACATGTTGATCAGGTAATGTGTTTTTAAAATTAAAATTATAGTTTACTAAGCGCTTTAAAGGAAATATAAATGATATAATATTATATATATTATAAATTTTTAGATAAGATATAACATAATATAACATGATAATATTATAACACGATATAAATAATATTATAACTAATTAATAACTAATAAACATTACGAAGTGCACAAGGAAAAAATATATATATTTTAGTAAAAATTGTAACAAAATTTTGATAAACTGGGAACATACAGAGTGATCGGAATTACTATAGATTTGTTTAAAAAATGCATATCTACTTTACTACAAAATGAATCACTTTATTACAAAATTATTATAATTGAATATATTTTATATTGTATTTTATATTGTATATATATTGAATAGATCATCAAATTTACTATTTTTATAGCAATTTCAGTATAGTTTTCAGTATAGTTACCAGCTTTACAAGAAACATTATTTAAAAAAGTGTAATTTTAATGTAATTTTTATTACAATATTTTATATATTATATATTATACATAGTATATATAGTATAT